TTCCCTTGGGGTGCTTTTCTTACGGCAATGAGCACGCTTTGGCTCGAAGGAAGGCTTACTTTCTCAGAGCTTTGGATCCTTAGGGCCTTTCCCTTCCGCAAAACTATAAACACCTTAACCCAGGGGTCTCCAACCTCGGCAACTTCCACAGCAGGTAGACTTCAGCAAAGCTGGCTGAGGAATTCTGGGAGTTGAAGTCCACATGTCTTACGGCGTCTTCGTAGGGCATCTGATAAATAACAAAGCAACTGAGGTGGCAGGAAGGAGCAATAATTTGGAGGTTGCAGCAGCCCGAGACCTCTTCCCTGACTTTCTTGCCCCGGGCAAGGGGGCTCATCGCCCTAGCGGAGGGCTTTGGTCTAGGGCATGTTCGTTTGTTTTCTCTTCGGCTTTTTTCCTTTGCCTGCCGCCCGCTCCACCCATGGGACCGCCGGAGCTTCTCTCGCTCCCATGGCAACGGCGCCCGCTTTGTGTTTTTCTCCGTTGAAGCGGCAGCACTGAAGCCTGAGTTGCCGATCCTTTCGAAGCCATGGCTTCCCCGGCCCTGCCGGAAGTTTCGCCGATTCTCCCGGTTCCCTCGTTCAGCGAAAAACAAAGGCGTCTCTCCTCTTCCTCCAGGCTGGACAGCAAACTCAGCAACGGCCTCGGGCAGGTGAAAGAATGGGGCGGCCATAGAGATTCAATTCCCTCTGTTTCTTCTTCCACCTCCTTCTCCTCCTCTCCTCCTTCCTCCTCCTCCTCTTCCTTCTTCTTCCTCGTCCTCCTCCCGCTCCTCTTTTTCCTCTCCCTCCTCCTGCTCCTTTTTCATCCTCCTCCTTCTCCTCCCCCCTCCCCTCTGATTATTATTGTTGTTGTTATATACTTTATTCATGAAACAGCCAACTGAACATTCAAAAATGCATTAAAAATACCAATAACTGGTGGTAATGGTTCATATGGGTTGCTGCCAGTGTCCTAGGTATCAACCAAATACTTCTTAAGATGTACGATGCTGTGAGTAGGGCAACTTTTTGCAGTTCCACTAGAGTTATCGCAGGAAGCTGCAATTTCTTTATATGCTTTATAAAACTCTTGGGCATGGTATTATTATTATTATGAAACTCAAGTCAACTGAACATTCAAAAATGCATCACAAATGCCATTGACGGGTGCTAATGGTTGATACAGGTTGCTGCCAGTGCCCTAAGTATCAACCAAGTATCTTCTTAAAATATATGATGTTCCGAGTAGCGCAACTTTTTGTACTTCCACTGGTGTTATTGCAGGAAGCTGCAATTTCTTGATGTGTTTTATAAAATTCTTGGACATGGTACCAAGTGCCCTGATGACAATGGGTATCACTGTTACACATTTTATCCATAGCTGGGTAGTTTCGATTGTTGTTGTTGTTATTGTTTGAGCCATTTAGCTGGGACTGCTGGATCTCGCGAAACGGATTCTTCCTTCCAAATACAAAAAATGGCAGTAAAAAGAGCAAGGGTGTTCCCCCCCCCCTCGTTTTGTGGGTTTTCTACTGCATTTATCAACGAAAGGTTTGTTTCATTGGAATCTGCCTGAGGGCTATTAAAATTTAGAACAATTAATCTGTGGAACAACTTGCCTTCTGAAGTTGTGGGTGATTCCAACAATTGGAGATTTTTAAGAAGAGATTAAACAACCATTTCTCTAAAATGGTACAGGCTTTTCTGCCTGAGCAAGAAAGCAGGGGGTTGGACTAGAAGGGGGTTGGACTAGAAGACCTCCAAGGTCCCTTCTAGCTCTGTTATGCTGTTATTAACAATGGCTATCTCCCCTTTCTCTCCTGGGAATAGTTCTGGTGAAAATACAATCCATGTTCGTCTCTGAAAGGACCCAAAACAGACAACAGACAGTGGAAGAAAATTTAGGCAAGGGTAAACAAAATTGTACTTTTATTTTGTTGTATACGATTGCACTTATGCAGGGTATAGGAACATAAAGGGAACCTTAAAAACATAAACTAAAAGTAACAAGTCAGAATGGGCAGGATGTTGCTGCACAAGCAAACTGAGGATCAATAAAAACAACTACAGGTAGTCCTTGATTTACGACCACAATTGAGCACAAAAGTAGTCCTCAATTTACGACCACAATTGAGCACAAAATGTTGCTAAGTGAAACATCTGTTAAGTGAGTTTTGCCCCATTTTATGATTCTTCTTGCCACTGTTGTTAAGTGAAACATTGCAATTGTTATGTTAGTAACCTGGTTGTTAAATGAATCTGGCTTCTCCATTGATTTTGCTTGATAGAAGGTTGCAAAAGCTGATCATGTGACCCCAGGACACTGCAATCATCATAAATATAAACCATTTGCAAGAATCTGAATTTTGATCTTATAACTATAGGGATGCTGCAACGGTCATAGGTGTGAAAAATGGTGATAAGTTACTTTTTCAGGGCCTTTGTAACTTTGAATGGTCACTAAATGAACTTCGAGGACTACCTGAATTTAATTTAAATGTGAGCATACATATATTACCGAACGATGCTTGTGTTTATATACTTACAAATAAATTCCTCACAAGACTTCATTCTAAGCACAGAAGCCTTTTATTTTTTAAACATCGACCGAGACCATATCTTAAGGCACTATAGTTCTAAGTCAAAGCCTTTTTCTAATCTGAAGATTCTAGTTCAAATGCACTATGAATACAGTGATTTAGTTATTCTGAACCCAGGTGATGAATACCTTAACCTCAAAATTAACTCTCCAAGTTGGGCTGGAAAAATGAATAGGAACATTGATAACAGAACGAGATAACAGAAGGGACCTTGGAGGTTTTCTAATCCAACACCCCACTCAATGATGAGGTATCATTTATATCATATATTTAAACTACACATAATTGGGCTTACATAATATTGTACACAACTAGAACTTTTTGGTTGTTCTTAATTGATTAATGCAATTTATTTTCTTGTAAAGATTAACTTATTGATCATAACAGTTTTACTCATATATCTTTAATTTCATTTTATATACATTTTAAACTTATATCCCATTTTTCCCTCTAAGGTTTAGATTAAAAACATAATTTTTTTTTAATGATATTGTGGATGTAATATATTCAACATATATTTACAAATTCGGCAAAATTTTATGCTGATGAAATTAGAGGAGATAAAAACAAAATCTGTGAATAATTGGAAATATTGCAAAGAATATTTTCTAGATGATATGCTAAAAAAGCTATTTATCCAGTGATTATAAAATTTTCCTTTACACTTCCATTTTGACCAATAAAATGTATACCCTGTGCAGCATAGATGTTTAGTTATCAGAGGGACAGACCTATGGTATATGGAAAATGTACCAGATATTTCCAATGATATTTAATTTCTTGGACTTCTAGTTATGTACCACAATAAAAGTTTGAAATAGTATATTGTTATGGCTATTTAAGTTCTTATCTTTTTAGCATGACCAAAAACATTTTTATTTTATTTATATTTGTTACAGCTGTGATTTGTAATCAAATGTATTTTATAGTAAAAATAGATCAATTTTTTTAGTTCCTACAATTATTTAGTAAGAACTTTTGAAAACTGTTTTTAAGATTTACAATAGTAAAAAATACAAATTAAATTCAAGAAAAAAAAGAATAAAACATGCAAAGAAAGAAAAATAAAAACAAAAAAGTTTGAAACTTATTTACATACATTATTTATGCTAAAATATTGCAGAGATTTGCCTCTGATTACAGATAGATCAAACTACTTCAATGTCACTATACTAGAATAAGACTTCTGACAGCATAAATGAAGAATTCAACAATATAGTTTGGCCATTATCATTATCATTGAAGTACAAAATCCAGCTGTTAGAGATTACATCACTCTTGCCCAAGTACAGGTAGTCTTTGAGTTATGGTTGAAATTGGGATCAGGATTGCTGTTGCTAATAAGTGCATTCATAAAGTGCAATGTTTTGTGACCACATCACTTTGCAGCAACAGTCTAGTTATGTGGCATTCTGGATATATGCAAGCATGGGAAGGCCAAAGAAAGGTACACGTTAGTGCAGCAGGGCTTGGGGAAGAGGATGGAGGGTGGCATGTTTTGGTACAATCATAAAAACACTGTATAAATTTGTAGCTATATCACAGGCTTTTTATTGTTTTATCTCAAAATAAGTTTCTGATATATCTTTTGATAAATGAACAAATAACTGTTTGGATGAATTTATGAAATATTAAAAAATCCTGCTCTATGGTGTGGGCCAGCTGCCGGAAGACACTCTGCCACAGCTGCTGTGTTGCGCTGTTGCAACAGCACAACACAGCCATTCGCCCCTGAGGCTATGCCTGCATCCTCTCGTTCCCGTGCCAGGAGCCTGCTCGCAAGAGAGTAGCCCCCCCCAGCAACCCCCCTCTCCAGCCAGGCAGAGCACTACTCACTGACCCAACAGTATCCCAAAGGTGCCAAGCCATGCAAGCGCCTGTTCCCTCCTGGCTCCCGTGGCTTGGTGCCTTCGGGATACCACTAGGTTGGTGAATCATGCTCTACTTGGCCGGAGGGGGGGTTGTCCAGGGGACTTATTTTGGGGGAAGGGCGTATATTTTTGCATATCCCAAAAACCTGGCATGGCCTTATTTTCAGGACATGTCATATTTTCGGGGAAACACGGTACCTAGAGTTGCTTCATAATTATCTCTGAAATCAAAAACCATTCTCTGAATTTTATACTGAGACAATATTTAAAATTTACAAATACCATTTATTAAAAGTAAAAGAAACAAGTTTCTTTTCAGATTTTATAGGTAAACAGGTTAGAAATGGAAAAGTTGTCACATTCATAGAAGTTACTAACCATTACAATCTTATTTAAATGAATATTTTAGGCAAATCACTTCATATATGTGGACCTTAATCAGGTGATCAAATTGCTTGAAGAAAGCGACTCAGTAAGTATATTATAGCAAATAATAAGCATAAATCTTATTTCTATTTATTCCAGTATAATTTAAAACTAGTAATATATTCTGTATATATTGTACAGAGTGCTTAAAGAAATTCAGGAGATTCTTATTAGCTCTAGCATGATTGCAAATGCATACATGCTGTTGTTGTTATGCGATTATGTTTGCATGGCAAGCAAAACAGTAACTTTGTCTTGCTTACTACTTAAAACTGATATACAGTATTTTCCTCAATACTATGAGGAAAGCCACAAGACATGCAAAGCAATGCTGGTGACACATTGAATCTTCTGTCTCTTTGAAGAGCAAATTGTTGCAAATATTAAATACTGTACATGTTCTCCTTTTGCTACTGTCATGTACTCTATTTTTTTTAAGAATATAGACGAACAAATCCAAGCTTGTCAGAAGGTTGCAAAGCACTATGAATATGGAATCGTATCCTTTTCTCTTGTTTTGTTACATACAAAATTAGAATCCAAAAATACTTCTATTCTGTGAACAGAAAAAACAAAATAATATTTATCTATTTTAAATTGATGTTTGTTTACTTGCTAAATTACATTGTAATATAATTATAATAATTATATTAATTAATAATTATAATTATTATATAAAATAAAAATATATGAATAAAAATTGGATTACTACTCCATCTTTTTAATGTATATCACACCAATCTGGCTGTTCTGGGAATGGTCTGTTAAACCTTCAAACCAAAGCTAATCCATTCAGTTCATAATTTTAGTTACTAAAGTTAAGAGCCGAGGTGGCGCAGTGGTTAAATGCAGCACTGCAGGCTACTTCAGCTGACTGCAGTTCTGCAGTTTGGCTGTTCAAATCTCACCGGCTCAGGGTTGACTCAGCCTTCCATCCATACAAGGTGGGTAAAATGAGGACCCGGATTGTTGTGGAAAATATGCTTA